CACACACACACACACACACACACACACACACACACACACACACACACCTGTTATCCACAATTCTGTACTTTGGTCACGTGTCAGCTGTATTTATATCTCAAAAGGGAGACCCTCGTTTACTTGTGTAAGTGTGTGTGTGTGTGTGTGTGTGTGTGTGTGTGTGTAACTTGTTATGTCACTCTCTTTAGATGTGACAGTGTCCTTTTAAAGTGTCATGTGACATTGTTGTTTTTTTCATGTCAGAGCAAACACACACACACACATAACACACTTTAACTTGTGATTCACTTAAAATCTGTTGTAGAGGTCTGTTTTCCAGTCAACACATTATACTAAATAATGTAAAATAATTGGATTGTAAATGTTGCATTTTTCTCCCTTGTGAGTCAAACACACAGCTCTAAACATGAACATGTCTTATTGCATATAACTGATTTTCTAATTACATCATATGTGCTTTTGTCCTTGAACACAAAACGTTTCACAACACGTTTTATTGTGAAACACCCTCTTGGACCACCAGGGAACAATAAGTCACCTGGAGTCTGATAACCCTCCTCCTACATTTTCATTATCCACATAAAGCTTTTATTTGTTCCTCCTTCTTGTGGTCTACAAAAGTACAATGCGTTTTATTTTGATAGTTTTAAACATTTTAAAGATGCTGCACCTCCCACATTCAGTCACAAGGTATATTATTCAGGAGGGGACTGTGTTGTACAACACAGACTTAGCAAGTTTCCTCAATCAGAGGCAGCAACAACTGGAACATTTTTCATATTGAATTAATAATCACCTAAGCATAAAATAAAAAGATGGCTGATCACACTGCCTCATCTCTGGCGTACTCTCTTTGTTTTTACTTCTACTTCTGTATTGCATTTACTTATTTTATTGTATTATATCATTACTGGTTTGTATTGTGCTCTGATGTGTTGTACAAAAGTGCTCGCTGTAGCATTGCATTGATGATATTAGGCAATCAATATGTAATAACCTGCCCAGCAACTACGGATGAAAAGTTAGCTCTCTAGCTAAGTTACATTTACTGTAGAGACTCGTCACTACTACTTTTATTTTTATCTGCCACCTGTTGACGCCATCTGTGAACTTAACTGCCTCTGGCTCCTCTTTCATGAGCCAGTCATGAAAACAGAGTTCTTTTGTCTTTCCTTACAGAACTGTTATTGTGTAATGCCACATTTCACCACCAGGTGTCACTAACTCCCCATGAATCATTGAATCTTCCACAAAGACACTACTGAAGGAAAAATACATTTAACAACAATTCTGAGCATCAGAGCTACTTTATCGACATTATAAACTGCAGTTAATAGCTTTCTCCTTATGAAAAACACATGTAGAGTAAATGCAGGTATGTAATATTCAATGGTGGAAAGTAACTAAGTACATTTACCCAAGTAATGTACTTACTTATAAGTATAATTCTGATGTATACTTGGAACAAAACATTTCAGAGGAAATTAATTTACTTTTTATTCCACTTCATTTATTTAATAAATTTAGTTACTAGTTATTTAATAATACAAAATAGAATCAGCCCCATATTTACCAGCTGATGCACACATTAATGTATTATAATAATCATAATCCAATAATATAATTAACATTAAACTGAAATGAGCTGCAAAATGACTTTTGATACCCTACCTATATTATATAAATACATATATTTTGATGCTGCTACTTTTGTACTTTTACATGAGTAACATTTTAAGTGCATGACTTTTTAATGTGAGTACTTCTTCTGTATGACATTAGAATGTAATTAGGAGGAACATCCTCAACAGCTGTTTATCTTAATTGTATTTTTTCCACAAACTAGAGCCTCATTTAATGAGTTTACAGCCTAACAGCACAAACAGAGATCCAGACACGTCTCTGCTGTCAACTGAGCTTTGATCAGGGGGAGACGTGGACTCCGCTGCCCTCAGATGGCTCAGTTCCTGGAAAGAATTCACGGGAAGCGAAAGGATTATATAACATGTAACACGCCCAGTGAACGACACAGGCGTGGCCCTCCAGAGTGACTGAAGTCCAACTCGAGTACACAAAATGCAGGACAAACGTGTAGTTGTAGATCTAAGATTCTCTAAACCGGAAACAATTAAGACTCCAAAGAGTTTTATCTTGTTTGAACAGTCAGAGGATCAGATTTGCTTCTCTCACATTTAAAATGCCAGACTCAGGAGATTAACAAACTTGTTTGTTTAAAGAAGACTTCATATTATGAATTTAATAAGAATATTCAGCATTTGTCATTTTCAAATGTGATTCAAAAACACCTGCAGAGATATATGGTCTTGTATGAAGAGAGTAATTTAGTAAAGATAAAAGTTTAACTCGATAAATGTTTAAAAAAATGGTTAAATATATTTAATTTGAGTAATTTACTATTTTATTCTTCAGTTTTCTTGTCATTCTTTCAGCTTATGTGTTTCATTGTTCTCAAATAAAAGCTTCAGTTAAACTTCAACAGCTATAGAGACAACTGGAAACAGATTCAGAATTGTATTGTTTATCACTGCTAACACTTAAAAACCCCAAACACGTTTCAATGAGGAGACAAGCAGTCATGTGTATATTTCTGGACATTTTCTTTTAATTTAGTCTTCATCCATCCTGTCCACAACACTATAGAATTGTTCATGTGCATACAGTATTTTGCTGGTTACATTGACAGCAAGCAGTCCCATCAAAACATTTCACAGATGTCAGATTACAGTAAAATAAGTTAAAACGATATTCTCTCAGGCCTGTGAAACCAGGTAAATAACAAAATCTTCCTTCAACTCAGATAGTTGCTCTATGTCGTACAGTAGCTCCGCACCAGAGGTCAGCTGATTTCACACCGGTGGTGGTTCTGAAGGCAGTCATATATATATTTATACCCCACAATTCTTAGCTGTAAGGAGGCAGTTATCAGCAGTGTCACTCTAGTTAAGAACAAACTTGTACCGAGTCTGATGAATGGCGCTCAGAGCGGCTGCTTCAGTAACACATCAGGCTATGTTACGGGTCTTTGAACGCAACACGTTTTTCAGCATTCATGACTCAAGTGGTAGTTTCTGACCACCGACATACAAGGACGGGCGAAAGAGAGTAGAAATGTCACACCGTCACATTTTCTAAAGGTTAGAGACCCTGTTTCACTTTGATTTAGCGGATATTAGGTTACTTCTTTTTTTTTTTAGTAATAAGTTTAAAAATGAAATTGAGGGAGAATGGCTCTGCAAGCAGGAAGTACCAGACATGTGTTGTCGTGGAAAACCAGAATGAGTGGCAGGTCAGGTGACCTATTAAACAATGGGCTTAGTTACAGTAAAATAAAACAGACTGTAGTTTTATGTTTGTTCATTTGAACTTAAAGTGACAGTAGCCACTTTTCCAACCTTTAGACGAGATAAATTAACCTCAAGAGCAAATGACTAAACATAAAACTGCATATTTAGCATGTGTAAGTAAAAATAAAATAACGCGACATTAAATATTCTATATTTAATGACTACTTCATGATGTTGCCGATTTAAGGTAGGCAATGAGGTCCGTGCGCTCTCCCTTCTTTTTGATGCCGGCGAAGATCATTTTGGTTCCAGGAATGTACTTCTTGGGGTTCTCCAGGTACTCCATCAAGGTGCCCTCACTCCACACAATACCTGGGGAAGGACAGAGGATCGGTGATTAAAGCGGGATGAAAAAAATACTAAATCTGACCACCAGGCTGGAGGGATAAGAGACGACGTATCAGTGGCCAAAGTTCCACCAAAAGGTAATTATTCAAAATGTTTAATCTTTAAAGAAACTGCAAAAGTTACTGGTTATGACACAATTACCCTCTGAAAACTACATTCAATTATGTATGCTTCATGCTTGTTGCATATCTAAAGTTTGTATTACTCAGACAATGATTCCTCCCACTTCACTTGATCTACATCCCGAAGGAGACGGTTATTCAGAGCCTCGTTTAACCACCAGTCGACTGACCTTTACTCTTGTTGGCGTCCGTGTACGAGAAGCCCTCGGCCTGCCCGGTCTTGCGTCCGAACAGACCCCAGAGGTTGGGGCCCACCTTGTGCTTGCCCCCCTGCTCTACTGAGTGGCACTGAGCACACTTCTGGACAAAAGCCTTCTTTCCCTTAGCGATGTCTCCCATAGTCAGCTGCAGAAAAGAGAGTACAAGTCAGATGCATAGTTATGACAGTGTGATACATACTAAACACTAATGTGTGACTTCAGATCCATAAATACTGTGGATCTACTAATCATAGCCTGTAGATATGGCAGGGAGCTCACTCACTGCACATGTCTGACTGGCACCATCTTGTGAAGGTTGCTTAAGGTGACAACTTTTTTTATCTGCACCTGTAGCGACGCATTCTTCACGCTGCATGCAAACAAGTTATGACTTTCCCCTGCGTGCTGGCACCCTGCCGAGGTCATTATAGTGAAATGTGACGTGAAACGTGAACAGGAAACCGCTCCAAAACCAGCCTCCGCTTCCGTTACATCACTGTAAATATAGCGCCTCAGCTCGGGTTACATCACAAGAACAGATGCCAGTCTTCTGGAGTAAATACTGTTTGTTTTTAACAGTATCCCGCCATGACGCTCTACCTTTTACGTGTCCTTTTCGCTCCTGTCAAGGTGACCAACACACGCGCCGATGTGACAGATAACCGGTGTAATGCCAAAATGTGTTCCCTTGCATTTCTTGTCCTCAAACACGTGCACTCATGAGAATCAGCTTTATGGGCCATGTATATGTACGGTTCACACATTGCTCTCAACGTACATACATAGAATACACAAATAAACAAGAACATTATGAAAAACAAGGACATTAAAGACAACAAAGTAGAACAGAGCAACTAAGCATAAACATTTAACTACTATGTACAATATAAATATATATCGAAGAATATATATGAACATAAAGAACAATGGATTTGGGATATTAGTGCAAATGGAGGTGCATAACTAGGTAATATACTTTCAATAAGCTCGACATCTGTCCACAATCAGTGGACACTTCCAATATACAGCTATTAATACTGTTGTTAAGAAATAAAGACTTAAATGTCACAGGAATAGACATTTATTTAAAAGGTGTGACTGTCCTCACGTGACCCGAGTTAACAGCAACGAGACTGTCATGTTAGCTGGTCGTTATCTAACGTTACATGACAGGACTGACACAGTTACATCATTTATAACTTGCTCATTATATATTCTTATGGGGCCATAGGACATAGAAGACCTGATACATTATACCTTTAAGAAGTGAAAAAAAGGGAACATAGAATCAGCATAAAAGCCCCAGCCTTTAGCGGCCTAGCATCCGTTCCTACAAGGACACACACCACCAAAGCAGCTTCCATAAGCAGAGCTGCTTATGCGGTATTAACGCACACATTATATTCTACACAGCGCACAGCCACTGTATTACGGTAAGGCTAGCTTGACCTGTGGCTACAATGCTAGTAAGGTTAGCCCCGGAGGATGTGTCCGGGTGTCAAGGATGCTTCAATGTCGACGTCTGAACATCCACCGCAGTGTTAGCTTAACACTTTGAACCGACTCCACGAGACATTAAGAACGAACTTGACTGTACACATTTCGAACAATAACCAAATCCAACATTGAATTGTCGAATTATGCTTGAATAACAGGTTGATTTACCCTTTTGTTTTACGCATAAAGCGTAACCGAGCTATCCACCAACTTTAGCGCTAACGTTAGCAACGTTAACACTAAACCGTTAGGGCTATTTTCTTCTTCTCTTGTATCCGTTCTGTTGTATTTGAATAATACAATCTCAAACCCGATATATATTTGATATAACTGCTCAATAAGTAACGTAGATAATTACCTTTGTATTAAAATATGCGGGGTTAAAATCACTCCGGTTCAGGTATAGAAGCTGCTTCTTCTCTCGGCCGGTTGAGTGGTTGGTTTCTGGCGGACGTAAAGAAGGTCACTTCACTTTTAGAGGCAGTGGCACCGGCTTTTGACGTCATCGTCCAAATCACGTGCCACGGACGTTTAGATCCTGACGTAGCCGACTTCATTCCGGGTCCCATTTCTACAAATACAGGTTTCCTTACCCAACTTCACATCTTTACACATTGATTTGAAAAATCGCTTTTGGGGACAGAAAGCTCAAAATACACACTAATAAATAAATCGTTTTTAAAATTTTTAAATATGACGTTGCAGATGGGTCGCTATTCTCGTAGGAGACAAGACGAGGGACCAAGAAGGACGTGATAAATGTAGTTTGGAACGCGTAGTCTTGTCGCATTCCCTAGCTTCCTTTTTTGAGCAAAAGGCACCTGCTGGAGTAGCCTTATAAGGAGATCCATAGCCTAAAAAATCAAATGTAGTATGTACATTGATATACTATCATTATGGACAGAGTAAAGTATCTATCTAGTATATTTGAGCTATACATAACTTGTAGTTTGCCAATTATATTTGGGAATATGGGAAAATATCTTCGTGTTTTGGTTCTCTATTAGATATAAAATGTTTTAGATATCAATGTTGTTGCTTTCAGATACTATTTAAGCTATTCTAGGGTGGGTCAATTATATTAAATATGAATAATCACTAATTAAGTCATATAAAATAACCTGTAACTAACTTTTTAAAAGCGAAAAGAGACATTTCAACTAGTCAATACCACAATGACAATAATAATAGTGTAATAGTGAAGTAAACGTTTATACACACAGCACCTTCACAATGAAAGCTATAAGTAGGACGTGAAATAGGGACAACATATGGGTAGGACATATGATTAAATTAAACTAAAGTTGACCACTATGTCCTCAAGGGTAACAGCTGGAGTGAACACCTCAAATGCAACGTGACCTTTAGTGTACAAGCTGGTGTAAGAGTTCAGATTAGGTGGCAACCCAACACAAGCCTCTGACGCAATATCATCAGCTGACGACTGTGTTACGTGTTTGAGTCAATGACGTAATAGATAGATATGTAGATAGATAGGTAGGTAGGTAGGTACTTTATTAATCCTGCATGGGGAAATTTTTTTGCAACAGCAGCATTTATGGTACAGGTAAAGCAATACAAATAAGAGAGTAAAAATATTAAATATAAAAATGCACACTATATACAATAAAATAGAAGAATATTAAATTACTCAATTAAACAATAGTGGCTTAAAGAAAGCTCTCTGAGCCAGATGGTTTGTGACCATAGTTTGTAACCACAATTTATCTTTGTTACTTAATATTTGCACCCGAGATTCTCGAATGATATCGCGAGAGTTCCAGCTGCAAGGTGAGTTATGTGCAGCATCCTTTAGTAACAGAGAACAGGAGAGTGCTGTTACAACTCCCACACAGTAGGTGGCGGCATTTTCTTTTGCAATCAGCTCTACCGATAGCTTCAGAGATATGGGAATTTAAACAATTACCTTACTACACTTTGCCAAGATATGAGTAAACTAACTCATTAAGCAACCAGTGCAGTTCAAAACTAAGTATGTACGAATATGAATGTATGACATTACTACAACTATAGAGTCACGAATAAATAACGACAGTAGCCTTCTTTGGATCTCGGTCAACCTAGTTTTAACGTTACTGCTTTTCATTTGCGATTGCCACGTTTCCGGATGAAGTGGGAAGTGTCCGAGGTGCACTTGAAGGCAGCACCAACAGCTACTTCCAGCCGCACCGTTCAGCTAGAAAACAAAAAAGCAAGATGGAGGAGTACCCCACAAACACAAGCACCAACACGAAACAAACCGAAAACCTCGACGAACCACCCAACAGTCGGCTTTTCGTGGTTACAAGTCGGTCCATAACAGAGGATGAGCTTCGGGAAAGTTTCGCCGTTTACGGCGATGTCCACGGGGTTTGGGTCGTCAAAGACAAGCAGACAAAGGAGTCCAAAGGCATCGCTTATGTGAAATTCGCCAAGTCATCCCAGGCCTGCATGGCCATGGAGGACATGCACGGCAAAGTGCTGATGGAAGGGACAAAACCCGTTAAGGTAACGTTAACGGTTAGGTCGCGAGAATCAACCGTTACCGTTAAGATTATGTCAGTTGAAACGGTTGACTTAACGTCTGGTCAGTAACGTAAAACCAACGGTCGAAAACTTTTTATTTTCGTTTTTTAAACACTTTGGCCAGTGGATAAAAAATAGTTAGAAAAATATAAATAACATTTAAGATAAACTATACTCGTATTTTTTTTATTTTTCATGACTCAAGCCTAGCGTCTGTTTTGTGGCGCATTTTTTTTTTTAGTGAAACTGAATAGTTGAGCATTTGAGCAGGGCGTGTTTTGAGTTCAGCGCGAGGGAGAGACGAAAGGAAAGGGACACTTCCGGGTTTTTAACCAAACTCCAGAAAGTCATAAAATACACTAAACCTATATTTAGTTTTCATATACTTGTATTTGTACAACATTTCCCATAGAGTCATCTTTGCCATTGTCCATGAACAATGCTTTTTTAGAGAAGTTTAATTACCTTTGGGCAAATTCAGTTATACAGATCAAGCCATAAATCTTCATAATACATACATTGGAAGAATGAATGAGTAGTCTCAGTAACATCACAAAATTGTTGTTATAGAAATGGATTTTTATGGGTAATTGTACATATTAAGTTGGAGCGGTAAGGTTTATTAGGTTGCAGTTGTCACGTGTTCTCTCTCTGGTTGGTTGTGTAGGTGTTCATCGCTCAGTCACGCTCTTCAACAAGACACCGAGACGTCGAGGATGAGGAGTTGACCAGGATCTTCGTCATGATCCCAAAATCTTTCTCGGAGGAGGACCTCAAGGACACGTTCAAAGTAACCTCTCCTGTTTCATCTTCATCTTCCTTCACCACTGCTTATATGTAAAATAAGAACAGCATGTCGGGGAAATTAGATGGAGATTTTTACGTTTGATGTTTATTCCTGTGCTTAGTTAAACTGACAGACTTCATGTCTTTTTGTATCTCATTTTATCTTGATTATAACAGTAACTTTTAATTTAAGGCTCTCTGAAATAGTAAAATAACCTAGAATATCGTCTATAACCGCCATCTCGTGCCACCTTATGTGATAGGAGATGTTGAATAATGTGTCATCCGACATAACCAGTTCAGCCGGATGACTACAGATCTATTCATCCCTTGCTTTGTGCGTCTCTCTCTTCAGGAGTACGGTGATATTGAGTATTGTGTGATCATCAAGAATAAGTCCACAGGGGAAAGTAAAGGCCTGGGCTACGTTAGATACTACAAACCCTCCCAAGCTGCCGTCGCTATCGAGAACTGTGACAAAAGTAAGATGCAATCCAAAAATACATTAATTCATGTTACACAGTCAACATTTTTTTGTGTCTTGAGAGCTGTTATTGATGATGACGGTGGTGTTATTAGCTTACAGGGCCATCCTGGCTGAACCCCGCACCAAGGCGCCAGCAACAGAAGACTACTCCGGGGGAATGTCCAGAGGCGATTACTCCGGAGGTGGCGGCGGTGGTGGTGGTGACTCCTCTAACCAATATGCCTTCCCTATGGGTACGCAGTTGTTTGACATCCGTATTCAGTATTTCTCGTAGTATTCATCGGGGATTAAGTTGTCAGTTCTAAGCCTATGATCACATTATTCCACGGATCTACAGGTGGCGGTAACGCGCCCAGAAACACAGCAAAGCAGCAGGGAAGAAGACCGCTAGCAAGTAATCATAGATTTAAACAATGTGGGCTACAAATTGACACTGTTGGGGAGCCCAAGAATGAATAACATGTCACAGCCACAATACAAATTCAAGTAGCTGATGAGTTCAGGTATAAGTGAGTTATGAGTTATTTAGGGGGCTAATTGTGGCCACAAGGACATATGGGGTTTAACTAAGTAAGGAAATATAACTTTCTTTATTAATACCGACGCACTGTCATTTACAAAGTCCTGTTCCCGGTGTACTTCTGCAGCCGACCCTGGTAACTACCCGGCCATGGACTACCGCTCCACCAGCGGTGACTTCACGCGGTGCCTGATGATGTCGACGCGGGCCGCTCTGAGCCAGGAGCAGGTTTTCGCTCTCTTTGACATCATTCCTTGCATGGAATACTGTGAGCTGCAGAGAGACGCTTATGGAATGAGCAAAGGTGAGTGATGAACACAAAGTATGGGCTTTACTCACCTGGGAGCCATAATCCTGTACAGTGGTTCAAAAAGCAAAACTAAGGTGTGACTCAAGAACCGAGTATCAGTTGTTGTTTATTTGCTTTCTGTAGGGCGACTATAATCAAGTGGTCTTTGATTAGTCCATACTGTAACTTAAATACATTCTCCTGACTGGTCAAAAAGGGATTTTCTTGATTGTAATTTAAGCTCAAGACAAAAAGATCAAATTGTTTTACTGTCTTCTGTGAATGTTGATGTCTTCTAGCTACTGTTATTCATTTTGATGACTCTAAACTTAAAACTCGTCCTGTTCCTCAGGTCATGCTCTGATTCGCTACGCCAATCTTGGATCAGCGGTTTATGCCAAGGAGAAGCTGAATGGCTTTGAATATCCACCCGGCAACAGACTGTCAGTCAATTTTGTTGATGATGGAGAGGACCGCAGCAGGTACACACACGCATGTATATACTTAATACACACAACAGCATACACTTACTGTGTGTCTGCAGAACAGTCCAAAGTTAAAGGAGGAATGCAGCAGAAATGCTCTTTAAAATGAATGTAGTCATTATATAATTGGAACCAAAATGCCACTGATGACTAACTGTAACCATCTCTACATGTCTTCTTGGTAACCTTCTATCCGTTGTCACATATTCATTGGTGGATGACTGTTTCCCCTCTGGGGCACAGCTGTCTTTATATAGTAAACAACTAGGTACATAGCCTAAGAAGTAAAAGTTGTTGGCACCACACAGTGAGGCGTGGAAGACGTCAACCATTGTGTTCACAAAATGTTGTTCAAGAAGCAGCCGGGACCGTAAGCTGGTCTGGGTTGGTGTAGTTGCTAGTTTGCGATGCAAATGTTGAGTAAAAGTACACTAAAATATTTAAAATGACCATAAAAATAATGTATTTTGGTTACACACTAACAACTTAATCAGTATAAACCAGTGAAGATCAGCTTTGATCAGACGGTGCTCTTGTTGTAGTCCTGTAGGTCGGATGGCGATGCAGTTTGTTGCTACTCAGATGATGTCTGCACCGTGGAACGGACCGTCCCCCAGCCAATCAATGAAGCCTCCTGTAAGTGCATGAAGTCAATGCCCTATTGTATCGGATAACGCTGCAATTTTATACAGTTAGGTGTAGAGTCTAAATGTTTAAGCTGAGTCACTCATCCTGGGTGTGTTTGTGGATGTCCTCCAGAGTTTCCCCATCTCCCCAATGCTCCGGATTCAGACCGACGTCAACCTGCCGCCTCTGAAGAAGCTCGCTCCGCCGGACAGCAAGACCAAGGAGCGCTTGTTCGTCGTGTTCAGTCCGTCCCCGCTGCCCCCGGATGTGCTGGAGGACGTTTACTGGTAGGTCTCTCACTCGTACATCATAGTTTATTTATAACAACACAACATTATGTGCAATTATGCTCCAGACAATCGGCATTAACCAATGATTGGGTGTCCCTCTGTCTCTTTGTAGTCGATATGGCTCTCTTATTGAGGTCCATTTGGTTCCTGGAAGGAAGGTTGGATACATGAAGTATGCAGAGAAACAGGTGAGACTTTGAACTGTTTAAGAGTATAATTGTAGCATAGCAAGCAGGGATGGATAAATAGAGTCTTTGGGTGAGGAATAAACAGAAATAAAGATGGAGGGATGAATAGAGGCAGACAAATGGACAAGAGGAAGTCACACGTTCACCCCGGTCTCTCCTCTCAGTGTGCGGATGACGCCATGGCAGCGCTCCACGGTCAGGTGGTCAACGGAGTGAAGATGAAGGTGATGCTGGCCGATCCTCCCAGAGAGGAATCCCACAAACGTCCTCGGAACTTCTAGGACCCACGTGACCACCTCCCCCCCCAAACAACCGGTAAGTTTTCTGCTGACAACTGAAGAATTGGGTACCAAAGTATTTCACTGTAAACGTATCCTTTTGTAACGCCTGGTGTTTGAACGCTACACATACACATACACAGAGCAGAAAGCGCTATTCCTCTGTTACAGTGTAATATGCTTCAGATAGACACGATACATGAGCACTTCAATCAAAGTTTCATCTAGCGAATAAAATACTGTGTTGTTCTCACACACACACACACACACACACACACACACACACACATGCCTGTGAACACCTGTTTCTGATGAGTTGACTTGTTTCTGTCCCTGTGAATAACACTGCAGCTTCTTGTTCCCTAGGCGACTGTTGTCATGACACAATGACACCTGACCCGACCCGACCGACCGATATCGAGACCTTCTCCCGACCACTGACCCGACCTTTGACATCTGTCTGACCAGTGACCTTGCTGTGACTCGCTGATAACAGTAAACAAACTGCTGAAATGAGTCTGAAGCATATGATCATGTGTCGTCTGTGTTGTCTGAGGTGAGCGTTCATTGTTTTCATTGTTTCAAGTTGCAGCTTAGTTCAGGTGATTGCCAGCATTTTTTGTCCTGAATAGATTTAAGGTGGATCTAGACAGTTGTTTTCCTCTCTTATGGTATACCCTGTCACTCTCTCTCCCTCTTCCCCCCCCCCCCCTCTCATGTTGAGCTTAGTTCAAAGGTGTTAATCAGTCTGTGAACCTTTTTTTTGTATCAATAAAAATCATTTGACCACGTTCAGCCAATCTCGTCTCTTCTTCTGTAGCTGTGTGATGAATAGTCAGTTATAGCAGTTTAAGTTATAGTTTGATCATTTATTTGAGAATTGGAAATTTGTTCATCTACACTGTCTCACCACTGGGCAACTCGCGTCAGTGGCTTTGAATCGCATCCAGAAGGAGTAACTGCGTCCTGGTTTGCAGAGGCGCCAAAATGTTTTACAAATCTTATTTTTAAGTTTATATTTTACTCTAATGGTACCCAACCTGAAATAGTGCCGTGTTTCATCAAACTACCACAAACAGACTGGAAGGAGAGTACATGTGTATCTGTTGGTCTCGGAGTGCAAAATATAAAATGAATCTGTTGTACTTGATGAACCATAACAGGTTGATCTGGCCGTGGTTGGATATGTGTACATTTAAACCTGCAATGATAGATTTATTTCATCATACAAGACGCACACTGGATATACAGTAATCTTTTATTTCTTCAGGAGGCATCATGAGAACATTATTTACATTTCTGGGTTTATGAGGAGATCATTTGGTTTCCCTGCTGGGGTTTTATTATGGTCTGGTCAACGTATTAGAAGCTCGATCTGGATCCTTCAAAAAGTTGAATGAAATTTCCATAACAATTTCTCAAACTCTTATTTTGGTGTGAGAGCAGGTGAACAGATTCAGTTTCTTACAACAGAATCCCTCCTGTTCATTTCCCTGCACTGTATAACTTCAGTACTCTCGAACACCCTACGATGTTTCATTTATTGAAGTCCCACCATACATGTGTAGTGCTTTCATTTTAATGTCTCACTCTGCAAATCACTATATTCACTATTTAACTGATTTCTTTTAGAAGTAACTTTCGAACGTAAGTCGTCGAGCAACAAAAATCGGACAAAATTCTCTTAATGGTAAATTCTGACGAGCCACGACCGCGTCGCCACGTGGAGCTGACCCCGGTGTGGAGATTTGGACATCCGAATGGAGAAAAAGCCGAGGACGTGGTGGGATGTGAGAGGAGGCGATACAGAAAACAGAAGGCGTCAAGAGACGGTGCAGTGATGTCATGAGATAATCAGGCTTTATTTACTGGAGTCTCTGAAAGTTAAAATCATTCAAACGTCTGGTCTCTTTGTTGTTTAGCTCCATGCATCCTTCGGTCGGTCCCTTAGTCCTTTAGTCCATCCCACCTCCTCCCCCCCCTCTCACGAGCTCCCTCTCAGTCTTCCATCGCCAGTGTGTTGAGTTCCTCGTCAAGCTCCTCCAGATCTTCGCCCGTGAACAGGTTCTCATCCACCGGTACCTCCTCGTCGTCCTCTTCCTCTTCTTCATCATCATCGTCCTCTCCGCTTCCATCTGCTCCCGGAAGCCCGTTGGCCTCGGTGCCACCGCAAGCTCCGTTCAGCTGCTCCTCTGTGGAGGGGCAGAGAAAGATATTTTTAATTATGCTCGTTTGTTATTTGAGTAAAAAGCACAAGTTCAACAAAATGTCATTACAAATAGTCCTTTCTTTCTTACCATTGTCCGTTACCGTCGGCCGAGTCTTATTCCTCGTGGTGAAGCGGTCCGTGGATGCTACGGAGCCTGTGTTGTCGACCTCTTGTGGAACAAAACGGGATAGGTCTATGTCCTGGAACTCGGTACAATCGACCTGAAATAAAACATTGGAAATAAGGTTTCGACAGGAGCGTGATGCAGGAAAGCAGTTAAAACAAAACGTGTAGAGAAGCGAGGCAACGCTGAGGCGGTTGAATAAATAGTGACCATGCTATTTATCTACTTAGTATAAAATAACACCGAATGTTAAGTAAGGAGAGTGTTGGTAATACACAGTGACAAGGAGTCATTTTGCCGCTGGACGTTTCTTTTGTTGTGAATAGTTTGCATTAATAAGGTAACATCTGTAATAAGCTCCATAAGGATTTCTGCAGTTTTTCAGGGAGTCATTCATTTAAAGACCAGGAAATGAACTAAGGGACAAACGGCAAAGCTGTGCTCAATCAAGTTAAGATGAATTAAAGAGAAACGTTCCCTTGTTGCCTATAACCCGACTCACAGCCTGAACCTACGACGACGAAAACAAGAGCACAACAGGTGCAGACGATTAGCAGGCTGATTATCTGCTGTGTGAACAGGCGGTCTGGGGACTGCACCAAACACTCTGCACCACCTGTAAGAAAGATCCTTAATCATGGCTTACGGATGAGACAGAATTGTGTTCTGAAAATGTGGCCGAGTGTCTCATCTCTGAGACGTAGAAACTGTGGAGAGTGTGTTTCGCCCACATGACCGAGAAGACACCAGTGCAGGTTATTGTGCTGGGACGTCTCACTTGAAGCACAAATCATACAAAGCCAAACTAAATAAGCATCGACTCGACTGCCTGAACTTTTTCTGTGTGGCTTCGTTACCCTTTCCTCGTCGTCTTCTTCGTCGTCTTCACTGACGTACTGAGTGTCTGCGGCTTCGTCGTCGTCCTCGTCGATCAAATCCGGTCGGAACTCGAACACCTCACGGCCGCTCACCTACAGATAAATGAGATTTACATTTAATCCTAAAGTACACTCATGAAGTGACCACAGACAACTTAAACCCAGACTCACCACTAGCGATTTCCCCGACTTGAAGTCAGCCTTCTTCCTCTCCATCTCCACCATGGCTTTGTCGATCTGTTAATCAAACAGCACACACAGAGAGAAACGTAAGAGACGTCAAACTAAACCTTCCTGCTGCCACCCGGACAAACTGACAAACTGTAAAAAAAGATTCAACTTGTTCCAACCTTGTCCTGCCGTTTCCTCTTCTTCCAAGCCAGGAAAGTGTCCAGAGTGATCCGAGTCACGTTGACACCCAGAGCTGCTCGCTGCAGAGAGACAGAGAGGACAGACAGACATCAGGACGAGGAGAGGAGAGACAGACAGGACGAGGAGAGGAGAGACAGACAGGACGAGGAGAGGAGAGACAGACAGGACGAGGACAGTAGAGACAGACGTCAGGACGAGGACAGTAGAGACAGACGTCAGGACAGGGAGAAGAGAGACAGACAGGACGACGACAGTAGAGACAGACGTCAGGACGGGGAGAAGAGAGACAGACAGGACGACGACAGTAGAGACAGATGTCAGGACGGGGAGAGACAGACAGGACGAGGACAGTAGAGACAGGACGACGACAGTAGAGACAGACGCCAGGACGGGGAGAGACGGACAGACGCCAGGACGAGGAGAGACGGACAGACGCCAGGACGAGGAGAGACGGACAGACGCCAGGACGAGGAGAGACGGACAGACGCCAGGACGAGGAGAGACGGACAGACGCCAGGACGAGGACAGTGAGACACGTCCAGGGTAACGTCGGTCACATGGAGTATTTACAGATCTGGGGTTATTTATGTGTCGTGTTTGACCAGTGATCGTTCTCGTGGTCTTTCTAGATAGACTGCTGTTTCATTTAGCTCATCTTAAAATGGTTGCACTGTATTTCATTGTTGTTTATATTTAATGCGTACACGTGACGCTCTTTGTAACGGGTTTTAAAGGTGCAATAGCAATAAAGTTTACTTAATAATTACCAGTAGTAATGGTAGTACAGCTAATGTCTGAATGCTAAGCTAACCACCACTGACTTGTTAACACATCTGATTTGTTCAAGTTATTGACCCTAAACACTACTACTAGCTCCTGTCTCCAGCAGAGACGTTCCATCCCTCCATCCTCACCTCGTTTTCTATCAGCTCCTCCAGCGAGATCTTCTCCTCCTCTTTCTCCTCCTTCTTCTTGTCCTTCTTCAGCACAAAGCCGGGCGGCAGAGCGTGCCGGTACATGCAGACGTCGCCCCCCGATGGACACGCCCAGAACCATCCGTACTTGTTGTTCTCTATGGCCTCCAGGAAGTGCTTACACACCTGCAGACGACACCACGGGGCAGAAGTTACACAGAGAGGACAGCGTTTGTGATACGAGTAAAGTTTAGGCGTCTATATTTTTAGAAAACAATTGGTCATATGATCAAATGACAATGCAGTTCCCCTCCATTCATCTTGCTCTTTCCCTGTCTTCATCTATTGTTCTTTTTTTCATCATCATCAGAACAGACTTACAATTTGCGTTTTGGCTTTCTTCTTCTCCGCCTCTCCGTGTTTCTTGGCGATCACCTCCTCCAGCTTCTTCTCATCCCAGTTCTCCATAGTGTCTAAACCTAAAACCACAAATCATTTAAACACATGAAGCCTTTTTCAATAAAACCTAGAAAGTCATTCTCTGGAAGAAGACCAATACATACACATTGATTCATTACTTCACAGCCAGTGTTTTTAGTGATTAAGATATGGAGACAGATTTTCAGGTGGCTACAAAGTTTCGGGTGTTTATCTCTGCCTCTCTAACACTTCATACAACAAATTACTTTTGAGAAGAAACCGTGATGTGTCACTGTAATGTTAAATAACAAGCCATCCCACAAACCGTCAAACTTCGTACTAGACGAACAACTTATTTAAGCTTTATCGCAGCCATTTAGGGGCGATTATATCAAACATTACTAGAAACAAACCTTTATCCAGCTCGTCGTCTCTCTTGTCCACGTAGAGGCTCCTCTTCTCACATTTCCTCTCCATCGTCAAGTCATGGCTGAACTTGCACCTGTCCCCTTTAGTGCACTGGCCCTGCTTAAAGAAGGCACACAGCACCGACTTTGGATCGACGCCTGCGGAAAGCAGAGATCGATTAGTATATAAAATATATAATCAGAGTTAAAGTTTAGTCTTCTGTCACTTTCGCACCGTCGTCGTTTACCTTTGGCGACTTTCTGAGCAGCGACTATGGGTTTAAACAGCTCGTTGAGTTCGTCCAGCTCCTTCTTCTTGTCAGTCTTCTTATTGGCTTTATCTCCCTCACCCTGACACACACACACACACACACACACACACACACACACACACACACACAGTAGATATATTTAAAAATGAGCTCATCAATGTGACAGTTTCACGGCTGGCACTTAAAATGATATGGCATCAGGAGAAAAGAGGCAGAGTGAGAAACAGGGAGACGAGAATGTTTGAGACGGTCACAGATATGAAGGGATAGAAGAAGAAATAAAACAGATAGTGAGAAGAAGAAGAATTTCCTCCTGACCGGTCTGGCACTTAGCGGTTTGACTTGCTGAGTAACGTTCTTGATGAATTTCTGCTGCTTCCCTCCTTTCTTGTTCTTCAAGCCAAATGTCTTGTCCTGGAAAATAAAAACATAAAAAACTAAATATTACAACTTTTAATATCATCACGGAAGCAAGCAGTTGTTTTCCGTTCGTACAAAACCCACAAAATGCAAAGGATGTAGCAGCACCGAACTTAAACCGTATACACTTTTTAGATGTTTTAGAAGCATCGGTAAGTCTTGGTGCGTCTACGTTTCATTAAAAACATTTTAATATTTTATTTTCTCTATATCGCTCTACCCACAATCCCCTCTGATATCCACACAGATTGTGAATATAAAGTTTCATTGTTAAAAGACAGTTGACAACAAAATCAACAATACTATAAACAAATTACATAAATAAATATATACATTTATTTTATTTTGAGGTCAAAAAGGCTCTGGTATTTCCGGGAAAAGTTGGCCATTGTAGTTGTTAAACAAACATGACTCAAACAGAGGTGACTAGTGTGTTAGACTAACATGTTAGTGGAGCCCACGTTAGTTCTCAATAGTTGCTGGACAACAAAGGAGGTCTGTGGCATAAAGACTGAGCTACATACACAGACAATACTTATTAATAACAGATTATGTTCGTTTTTAATGGGATTTGTAGGCAATCAACTCTCCCCCTTTAACCATCTGACCACAGATATAGCATCCAGTGCTCATACACAGTACCTGTTGTGTAATTAGACAGGTGATAAATAGACTTGTGGCACCTGAAATCCCCTAAAATCAAACTCAGCGACACGTGACATTAACACGTAGCAGCAGCACAATCTGTGACTGTTACAGCAGCTACAAGGCGGCTAACGCTGACAAGCCGGTACGGAAACACATAGAGAGATATCGGACACTACTTTATAGTCAGAGCTGCGACATCGACACTCACATGTGACAACACACGAGTTTAGTTTTAAAAAAATACAAACTTTTCACCAGTTTTAACTCAAATGTGGCCCCTCGTCTCATGTCCTGTGAGGCCGAGCAGCAGGCCCATCGGACCGCACTACGATCCTCGCTCGTGGAACATTATATAAGTGGTATATATACTATACATACATATATATATATATATTATATGGTGATTATAGTTGTTGTTTGGGCAACTTAAATTAATCTGAACAACTAATGAACAGTTGGAAAACGCTGACAACTGTCAAGAGGACGGTGTAACTTTACCAGCTACTTGCGTTAGCTTCGGTTAGCATGCTCAAGCTAACTCGTGTTATCTTCCCTTTACCTCAATTATCTTTTCCTTCTTCTTCTCTTGGGTTTTTTTACCGGCCGCCGGCTGGATGGGTTTCTTCGGAGGCATGTTGGCTCTCGGGTGTAGCTCTGTTACAAAACGCGATTATCCGTGTGGTATTTATTTTAAACGGGGGTGTTTCAGCTCCACATTTACCCGGTTGATGCTAGCGTAGCACAGCAGCGGCGTCTATAGGCCACATGTGAGTGTGTTGATGTTCTGTGGCGTCATCGCGCACCGCGAGAGGCATGATGGGAGCTGTAGT